GTCATCATAATCTAACAACATGTTTCACACTAACCTAACTTTCACTTCAAATTTATAGAGTATTTCTTTCACCTATTTGTCATCATCTTAATTATTTAAATTCTATTAAGAACATGATACATAAAGGCCGAACATATGCTAACACTTGAATCAAAAAATTATGTTGCTTAAGAATCAGGACTAAAGATAATTTATAAACATCGACATTCTTCAACCAATGAGACGAGTTTCACACAAAGAACAAAACTATTAAAACTCACACAAAGTTCAAAACAGACTTCATAAACACAATAATATAAACCTTAGATTAGAACAATAAGCTTATTTAAGGAACTTTAAATATATAAACCTTAGTCTACATTGTTTGTTATGGGTGGGAAATAACAGTTTCATTACTACAGCAAATACATTCCCTCCCCATTCTTGATGTTGTTTTGGAAGGCATGTCCATGACTTTCATAACTGGAATTCCTAAATTGCACAGATTCAAGGCCATCCTATTACTTCCACTACTAATAGGGGTTAAGTTCTCTTCATCTATTTCTTTCCTATTGAAAAAAGAATCATTTTTTCTACTCTTCATTATCACTTTTGTGATGCATAATCAATTAAATAAATTAACACAACACAACAAAATCTCAAAATTATCTAAGTTCCAATCTTACACATATTAGTAAGTACCAATTCTCTAAATTCCAATTCCACTACATTATAGCGCATTAAAAATATAACCACCTCTAATATAAACAAATTCCTTCTACTCCTAACAAATTAAAAAATAAACACTACCATTTTTCTATTAATGTCTTATGTAACTAATAATTAAAGTTTACAAAATTTCAACTTCTAAGGCACCAAACTAAAAAAAATTATCACATTATCACAATACAAACACAATACTTCAAACCAGAACATCAACTTAATAAAACAAACCAAAAACACATTATCACATTATCACAATATTATACTTCAAACTAAAACACCAACCTACAACAACACAAGATTACTTCAAGATTAATTTTTAAAAACAATGTTAAATCTTACTTAAGATTTAAGAGGAAGGAAGCAAGTTAGATGAAGAAGATGGACTTCTAAAAACCAGTTCGTGAAGGCCTCTGGAGGATTGAGATTACTTGAATGAGAGAGATTACTTAAGCAATTGAACGAGAGAAAGAAATTGTTCTCCTGGAATGCGAAAATATCAATTGGTTAGGGTAAACAAGAACAATGACATTAGTTTCTTTGACATTAGTTTGAAGAAACTGTTGAATGAAGAGTATAAAAATACACAAGTTTCCTTGACATCCATCACAAATGACTTACTTAGTGAAGCATCAAAAGATAGTGATACCTTAAATCTTGAGCGCTTTAGCTTGTTTGTTGTTGAAAACAATTGAAATGGATAGTGAAGAACACTGTAAAGATCATTTTCATTACTAGAAATTAGTAAACATGATTGTGCACATTGAGGTGAATAGCATAGAACAAACACAACAGTAGTTAGTAATCACGATTCTATGTCAATAGATTAGCACAATATCAAGAATTAGTTCTTATGTCAAGAATTAGCAATTCAATTCTATGAGGAATTTCTACGTACACCTAATGTGCAAATGTTATGTCTACAAATCTATGTTAAAATCTACATCACAAATTCACATAAACATTATCACAAACACATAATATGCATGCAGAAATTACTCAAGTATTCAACAAAACTATGAAAATCAAGTAATGTTACCTAAGATAATTTGTAGAAAATTGGAAGTTGGATGTTGTTGATGATGATAACAGGGAACCACGTTTGGACTTGACAAAGAGCTTTGAAGTATGAGCGACGGAGATGGCTGAGGAAGTGACGGCAAGTGACGGTGACGGCAAGTGACGGAGCTTTGAACAAATGGAAATAGAAGAAGAATGGCGGCAGCAGTGAAGTAACGGTCGCGGATGGGGTTTTACGGATGGAGATGAGGCAGAAGTGAAGGTTATGGAAGTTCGTAACAGTACTGAGGTCTGGACTTTGGAGTGTGAAGGTTGATGTGAGAAGACGGATGGGGTTTGTATAATTTTGTTTTTAAAAATTTTAATTTTAAAAAGGCTATGAAAGCGCTTTTGAAAAGCGCCTTAGTAGATGTAGCTATACCAGCGCTTTTAAGGGTAAAGCGCTCTTGTACCCCACCCCCTACCAGAGCGCTTTTGAAAAGCGCTCTCATACCCCCTTACCAAAGCGCTCTCATACCCCCTTACCAAAGCGCTTTTCAAAAGCGCTCTCATACCCCCCCTTACCAAAGCGCTTTTCAAAAGCGCTCTCATACCCCCCCTTACCAGAGCGCTTTTTAAAAGCGCTTTCATACCCCCCCCACTATAAGAGCGCTTTTTTAGCGTGTTTTTTAATTTTGTCTTTAGCGAAGCCTATGCCAGCGCTTTTCCTAAAAGCGCTTTCGTAGGGGTGCTGCTAAAAGCCAAATTTGGTATAGTGTTTGCATTATATGTCATTAAAATATATTAGCGACGTGGTTATCACGTCGCTACTACTCACGTGATAAGCACGTCGCTAATATATGTCGCTGGGGACATATATTCTTGTAGTGTATATATATATATATATATATATATATATATATATATATATATATATATATATATATATATATATATATATATATATATATATATATATATATATATATATATATATATATATATATATATATATATATATATATATATATATATATATATATATATATATATATATATATATATATATATATATATATCGAGTTTAATAATTTATATTAAGTGAAACATTTATTTGGTTTGATAAAGAGTTACGAAGAACGGTTAAATATATCATGGTTGATGAAAGTCTTTTTTTCATGGACTGCCAATAATAGAAGGATTATTTTTCTATTAAAGTTAGAGGATTGAGTTTGTACTTGGCAGTAGAGGTTGGTTGATACACTTTTGTGGCTTCTAGGGTCTAATGTTATATGTTACAAAATCATATACTGAGACAATTGGATATATGGTATGGACTATGATTTCGATAGAGTTTTAGATAGTCTTAGTGTTGCAATTATAGATTTTGAGATTAGTAATTTTACTAGAAAGGACATCGTCCCTCCTAAAACATAACATGTTTTTCCCAATCCCTTTTTTGGTAAAAGTGTTTAGGGCATGTATGTAAAGTTGGATATAAAAGCAAGACATAAAATAGTTTTAAATTGTTTGCAAGTTGCGCATGCGCATGACTTTCTCCTTGATATTCATATTGATGGACTAGGTCAACATATGTACCGATGGAGTAACGTACTATTTTGAAATACCGCCTTATGATTCCCTTATTTTAGATTGATGAAAATTGCTCTGTTTGTTGCAAGGTGTGTTTTGATAAATTTGGAGAACACGCGATTCAGTGCATGAAACTTCCATACTTCCAATACCGACATGACCTTGTTAAAGATGCATTATTTGACATATTTCGACGGGGCAAAGTATCTATGAAGAAATCAACGCCTATGAATTTCTTAACTGATCTACAAAAGGGGAGATCGATATTTAAACCAACATATGTTCTGGTGTACGAGTGAGTAAGAGGGAAACATGCATGTGTGGACTTGACAAAGGTTTCTCCACTAGTGGTGGGACTGAAAACTGGGGGATTTACTGTGAGACATGCGGTCCTCAAAGGCGCTTCAAGTAAAGTGGTCAAATATGAGAAAACGTGTTCCAACAATCAACATGCTTTCATATCATTTTTCTTTGATATTTTTGATTTTCTAGCACCGAAAATAATGGATCATTAACAGAGAGTCCAAAGACTTATGCATAACAATGTTGTATTTTCTAAATCAATGTATGTAGTTCTTAAGAGAATTAATTTTACCATAAAAAAAAAAGAGCGACACAACTTGTTGCTTGTTTACCTTCTATTTCTGTTTAAACTCTATTTATATTGCTATTTAAATTCAAATTAGTGCTAATATGATATTTATTATTTTATCAATTTAATAATTTTAATAATTTTCTAAATACTTTAGTATTTTAATATGAGTATTTTAAGAAATAATATACTAAGTATGAGTAAATAAAATAAATGAATAAATAAATAAATATGTGCTAGTAAATGAGTATATTATTTTATTTAGAACTAAACATATTTTTAATAGAAATTAAAGAAATTGATTTATTTTTTGATAATAATTTTTTTTTAATAGCTCATTTTTATCTTGCTTTTAAAGAGATTATGGACGTCTTTTACTTCTCGACGTAAAATTAAGTGATTGGTTTATGACATTTAATGGTAGGATTCAATTTATGGTGTGAATTCAATGAAGTACTTCATATCAAAGTTACATTGTACCTTCAACGTTTTGGTAAAATGACTTTAAACCGGTGAATGAGCTCTTTTTAAATGGTCCTTTTCTTTAGTGAAGTAAAATAAATTATATAACAACTTTGAACCATTTGTATATAACCACTTATTTTTAAAAGCAAAATTTGTCTTACCTCCCCGTGCTGATTGAATGTGATCAATCTGATAGGTATGCTGTCGAAGCACTTACTATAAAACATAAGACAATGAAAATTACACCAAACATACATAAAGACATCTAGAACAGTACAATCACGGGAGTAAGTGCACACTTTACTGAAAAACACATTGTGTTGTGTCTTACAACATGAACTCGAGGAAATTAAATAACATAAAATCACATTAAATATAGTTTAACCTCAATTAGTGAAACCAAAACGTTGAACAATGTCTTCTTTTGCGAATTTCTATATCTTTAATATATTAGTATAAAAAAAAACACCAGTACTCTAATATAATAGTGTCTCACATTCCCTAAAATCATAGCAGACAGAACGTAGAATATGTGATTTGTGACAGTATATTATTCTGTTAGTGAATGTTTTCTATTATATATATATATATATGCACTGAGAGTTAAAGTGTTGAGTTCAGAGAATCATTGAGAGGAATAAACATCTATATGGAAGATAATAGTATCAATATGTCAGGCTTTTGCATGAGATCATCTGGAAGTAGTAGCAGTGGCACAAAGTGTGGACGTTGGAATCCAACGACAGAACAAGTTAAACATCTGACTCAACTTTTTAGAGCAGGGCTCAGAACTCCAAGCACTGATCAAATTCAAAAGATATCCAATCAACTCAGTTTTTATGGTAAGATAGAGAGCAAGAACGTGTTCTATTGGTTTCAAAATCATAAGGCTAGGGAAAGACAAAAGCGTAGAAAGGTTTCTTTTGATGATGACAAGGATGTTATTGTTCATCGTAGAGACAACTCCGTCCATGCTTCTACACAAAGTAAGTACTTATAATTTTTGTCAAAATCATAATGATAAGCTAAAATATGTTGATCTAGTTGATAAAAAAGTTGATTAATTTGTACTCTTTTTCTTATATTTTGCAGATCTTGTTGAGATGTACTCGGAGCCTAATAGGGTGATTGAGACTCTTGAGCTTTTTCCATTGAACTCTTTTGGTGATTCAGAATCAGAATCTGAGAAGCTGAGTATGCGTGTAAATGAAAGTAGGGAAAATCCAATATTTGCATACACGTGTACAATGGGTGAACAAATGGAGCATCCACCATTAGACTTACGGTTGAGCTTTGTGTAAAAGAGTTTCAATCTTTTGTATCATGGAAGTAGGTTTAACAGTAATAGTGATTAATTTTACATGCCTTTTCAACTTGGTAGTATGTGATATACTCTGTTGGATTGTACTTGGATATTGATTATAAAGATGACTTGGGATTCTAATTCAATTTCTTTCATGAGATGTCGCACATTAATATGCATACTTAGAAGATTATTTTAGTACTTTACTAATCTACATTGCAAATGAGTCATACTTCACTTCGGGTCTACAAATTAGTCATACTATTACTAGCTAGGAAGCTAGCAAACCATAGCAAATGTGAAATAATCTCAGGAATGTATCAATTCCAAAGTGCTTCTTCTCTCTCAAATAAAATGGGTTGGACGAAAAGGGCCGATTGTATCATAGCAAATGTTAATGTAATTATAAAAGATGATAAATTACAATTAAATAAAAATATTTATCACTCGGTTCCATACGTGAGGAGTAACATTATCTAAAATAAAGAAAAAATAGTTATGTGTTTGATGAGCTCCCACTATGCCAGAAATAACCTACGAAAGCGTTTTTTTTGGGCTTTAAAAGCGCTCTCGTAGGTGGCGCTGCTAAAGATTTTAGCAGCGCTTTTTGTTCAGAAAAAAGCGCTCTCGTAGGCCTACCTATGAAAGCGCTTTTTTCTTAAAAGCGCTTTCATAGGTAGGCCTACGAGAGCGCTTTTTTCTGAAAAAGCGCTTTCATAGGTGTATTCAGAATGCGTATAAAGTAGGCCTATAAGAGCGCTTTTCGTTCAGCTAAAAGCGCTCTCGTAGGCCTACCTATGAAAGCGCTTTTTTCTTAAAAGCGCTTTCATAGGTAGGCCTACGAGAGTGCTTTTAGCTGAACAAAAAGCGCTCTCATAGGTGTATTCAGAATGCGTATAAAGTATGCCTATAAGAGCGCTTTTTGTTCAGCTAAAAGCGCTCTCGTAGGCCTACCTATGAAAGCGCTTTTAAGAAAAAAGCGCTTTCATAGGTTTTCTACTGAAAAATCTAAAATTTAAAAAATTTCTAAACCTGCATTTTTTTGCGGCAAACCTGTAATTCTTAAACCGGTATTTTACAATCTAATCTAGAAATACCAATATATATTAGTTTTAATCCAAATACCAAATATTATATATATATACAAATACCATTATAATCAATTCATATCCAAAATATATATACACCATGATAATTCAATATTAACATGTTTTTAAACGTAACAAAATACACCCTAAGAAATCAGCTATATAACACTAAGTAAATCAATCCTAATCTACATATATATCCAAGGTCTTGATCCTGCAATATGAACATAATAACACGGTCAGTGTTGTATACACAAAACAATATATTCATAATTAACCAATTTTCACACAACAATGTATTCGTACCTTATTATAAGATTCTTAGCTCAATAAAATATTGGCACAACTCCTCTTTGAGTTCTTCCAATTGACGTGGCGAGTAATATGGACAATTGTATTGATCAAAATACTACATTACAAAACAAAATATATGCGTGATTTAGTTTAATGTAATAAATTATATGCAAAATCTGATAAGTAATAAAACAAAGTATAAATCCATACCGTGATTGGAATCTCGATTTCATTCATTTGAATGATTTCTTTGATAAACATCAAAACGAAGTATCCGCAATCTATGCCGTTTTGTTGTTGAGGGTACTACATAGAAAAACAAATAAGATTATACACATCTATTGATTTATCAAGTAGCATAAATATTATAAGCAAAATTGTTGAAATTTATATACCTGTACTTTGATCCAATTAATGTTGTTTGATCTAAACCGTGGTACTCGTGCTCCCCTTTGACATCGGAATACTTGTATTGAACTGATGACAAAATTAAAATATTTATTTAGAACAATGACATTGAAATAATTAAATATATAAACACAAACGAATATTTAGAATAATGTCACTTACGTATCAATCACTAGCTTCATTTCTGGATAATTTGTCCAATCACCGTCAACCGAATTCAGGTAATAGACCACTTCTTTTATGAGATTGATTGCAAGCAACAACCAGTGACATCTATAAATTAAAGCAACAATTTAGAAGCGAATTTTAATGTAAAAAATACAAATATTAAAAGGAGCTTAGAATGAAAATCTAACCCTGTATTATAAGGCAAAAGATACAAGCTCTCTGTACAGGCAGTTGTCCTGAATCTTTCGACCAAGTGTTCTCTTACTGAATCAGGTTCCCTAAAAATTGTTGCTCCGCTAACACGGGAGGAAGACACGAAACGGAATCTATTTGACAATTGATTCCCGCGCATCAATTTGTCAAATAACATCCTTAAATAAAAACATAATTAATATTAGACTATTTCAATTAAATGTTTAAAAAAAAAGTTCAACCAATTAAATAATATATTGATCGGGTTACCGGATGTACGAGTGCATCACACTGATGCCTAACTCTCGATGATGAAAGATTTGTTCCATGTCCTCTAATCCAATTGTTTCGGTACATGGAAAACCAAAGACAATTTCATCCACATCGATTTGACGAATTCCATCATTCATCAAATCTGATGTGCCAACTAGTGTCTCCAGACACTGTCGAAACCTAGGCACAAATTTACGGACATGAACCTTCTTCTTAGGTGGAACCCTACTACCTTTCTGGCTCACCTGCTGTGACTGATCTTGAGAAGGTACCTTAAAAATCATATAGAATTATGTAAGATACAAAGTTATGCAATTTTTTATTCCGATCATAAATGAAACACTATAAAAGTACCTGTCTTTGCGATGCAATAGACTCGCCGCGCTGCAAAATCCCTTTATCCTTAGATGCGGGTTTTGCAGGAGTCTAAAATTACCATGTATAAAATTCAGGTCAGAACTGTCAGTTGAATACTTAAAGATTCATAATGGTTTTCAACATACCTGATCATCTATGCAGATGAGGTCTGATGGCCATGCCACAAAAGATCCTACTGCATCTCGCAGCAATGTGGTCTCCGCAACAATGTCAGGTACCGGTAGCAATGCATTCATATCTAAAACAAAATCAACCGATACCTTCATGTGGCCATCCGGGAGCGGTCTATGGTGAATTAAATCTCCCGGGGTGTTGTGCACTTTTCCCTTGCCAACTACCCGATAAGTCGGAGAAGCTAGATACAGCTGACAACATGAAATGCCCTAAACCAATAATAACCGTTAGACTTCCTTTAATGTTGACAATAATAACCGTTATAATTATACTTTCTCTAAATATAATGGATTATCATCTTAATTACCTCGGGAAAATTTTGTTGACGGTTGATACTAGCCTTGTCACTAGTTTCTTTCAACTGTGAACTGCTCCTTTCGACCATATACCTCTCTTTGTCCCTCTGCAATTCACGGACTTGTGCTTGTAAATCCTGCAATGTTTGCATCACTTCCGCATTTCTAGGATTTCTTTTTCTTGGATTGTTATACAGAGAGGTAGGAGTCACACCATGGCCTTTACCCCTCACTCGTCCCGGATACTCAGCAACACATAGTGCTCGACTGAGTACGCTCCTGATATTCGAGTCATCACCCGAGGATACCGATTGCGATATAGTCTCCTGTAATTCATTTAAATATCGATAATTAAAGACACAACGTTAATTATATATTAATTAAAGACATAATGGTATACTTACACACTCATCATAAATATGTTACAGATCGGGGTTAACAACTTTATCTCTGCCAACACGAGCTTCCTTCCACAGCACATGTGCAGGTAGTGATGTTTCGTCACTCTGCGTCTCCTCCAACTACGCATTGTTACAAATAATAAAATCATCAATACACATTGTTACAAATTAATAATACACATTGAGATAATTAATAAGATCGTAGAATTGAGATTTACTTACAATTTTTTCCTGTAAGCGTGCATATCCCAAACGACCTTTTTTATATGGATATGCAGGTTTTGACGCTCTATCCCGATTTACAGCACTCACTTTCTTGAAATTATCGTCTTTTCTTTGGCCCAGAAAAGCAACCCATTCTTCGGGTGTAATGAAGCTCTCATATTTTTTTGGTCGTTCAGGTTCCTCTTCAACAAAATTTCCTTCATCGTCTTTAAGAAACTTATTTGTCAAAAAATTTCTCCACCCTCTATGTATTTTTCCGGCCAAGCCCATTATATACTTTTTGCGGGCATCTTCAATGTTAAAAGACCTCTACAAAAAAACATACGCATATAGGGTGTTAGTATATGTAATTTAAAAACAATATTTTCGTCAAAATAAAGCAAATAACAACAACCATATATGATACCTTTATCTCGGTCCAAATTCTTTCTTTAGCATCCAACTCTCCTTTTTTCCAACTAGTAGTGGTGATCGGAATGTGCATACGAACAAGCGTACCGATGTAGCTTGTCAGCTTTGCAGAATTAGGCCCAATTAGTTGGTCATCATTATTCCAATCTACATTATACGTAATACCTCTATCTCTATCAAGGATGATTCCCCGCATGATAGTTATGCCTCGTGTGATGTCCTTATCTGAAGTGTCTTGTGGAACATTATCTTGTGGAACATCTCCTTGAGGAACATTTTCTGAATTATCTTGTGGAACATCTCCTTGTGGAACATCGTGATACATTTTCTGTCAAAACGCAAAGTATACACGGAATGAATTAAATAGAATGTTATTCAATATTTTGAACAATGGATTAAATAGAATGAAAAGATGGATACTATTAAATTTATGATTAAAGAGTTTCGAACTGATAAAGAATGAAAAAGAAATATACCTACATCAAAACATAAATAAAACAATCCTAAATATTTCAAAAAACTAAGATGTCAGATAACAAATTTTCAGTCAAAACGCAAAGTATACACGGAATGAATCCGTATCAAGAAAATGCAACATACGAAAGACAATTTAAGACAAATTCATCACAATATATACCAGTAATTTGAGGAAGAAAGTTACCTCTCAGATGTTTCAAACTCTAAGAAACG